CATGAGCAACTTAATCAGTTAGCTACTTTTATTGTGCAGCAATGATAATTCAGGTTCTGGGTGACCCAGTGCTAGAGCTATTTAGAGAACTGCTCCAGAGTGTTTGAAGTTTTGAAAATATTGATTTGCTTCTACTCTCCACTGAATTGGATTTCACTGAAATGAATCTCAAGAAATGAAGATACTGGATTATACATCTCTCCTTCACTTACTTTTTGTCTGACGACTTAGCAAAATGAAAATTTTGTTATAAAGAAAATGATTATAAGGATTCATCTTTTCTATGTTTATTATGTATGTCTGTTTATTATTGTGTCTGTTTTTCCTTTTGTTAGTTGCTAAAAATTAATATACAAATATTAGTACTGCCATATAGTTTATTTCAAATCTCTATCATGTGTCAATGAATTAAACTCATTGACTTTTTAAACTCATGAGTTAAAACATGGTAATGAATGTGTATGTTTATATACATAAAGATATTGATTCAATTTTTCTTTTAAATTACTGTATTTTTAGAAGGAGACTTTCTCCTACACACAATGATCAGTACTGCTGTGTTAGATGTTCCTGCTGAAACAGAAAGATAACCTCATTTTCTTAATGACTTCTCCAAGGTCAATATTATAAAAAGTCTAATTTTCTAATTTTCCATGAGACAGTTATTATGTGCTTCCCTTTTTTAATTTAACTGGACAACTACGAAGAACCATAGGTTCTGCCTACTGAAACAGAAATGTATGTCAAAAGCAACAATTGTTAAGAAGTAAAATATGACTTTACCTATCACTCCATATCGTGGAGAATTAGGTATTTTGATATTAAAAATATGTATTAAGAAAGTGCAGGCAGAGCCAAGATGGTGGAGTAGAGGAAGCACTACAGCAGAGTTCTCTCAGCATTCCCCTCCAAACAACTCTAAAATTGAATTCTGGAGTGGCAGAACTAACAAAAGGTCAGGGTGAGACATTTTTTTCCCCAGCACAAGACAAGTGAGGGGGTCAGAAAGAGAGGTCTATGACACTTGGTCAGAGGCTTGCCTGGAGCACATATGGCAGCAACACAGTTGTGGCACTTGTTGGTGGCAACAAGAGCAGCAGCAGCAATGCCCAGTGCTCTCAGCCCAGAGGTGGTAAAGGAATTGATCAACTAGTGAGAAAGAGATTGCAGGGAGCCCCTGTGATAGCACAGGGCACTATTTGGAAATTTCATTGCCCAACTCTATTTCTGGGTTGCAGTTCCAGGGTTGAAATAAGTATTAGCACTTTTAGTCAAAAAAGAGCAAGTGCCCTGAGCAGTAATAGCACTTCTAGCTGCAAAGGATCAGAAACTTTCTGGGTAAGTACAAGAGTAAAGACCGGGAGAGTATACCTCTCCCCAGATCATGCCATCTTGGGAGCACTGAAAACTTCCAAAGCCCCCAAATAGCTCTAAAATCAGCAGCATGAAAATGCCTGTAGTTTGAGACAGTGCCTCCCTCTACCCCTAGGTGAGCAGAGCCCAACTTTAATGTAAAGTGCGAAGTCAAGAAATAGACTGGGAAATTGAATAAGCAAACAAAAAATAGCCTGACCATAAAAAGACACAACTTCAGAAGACAACTGTGTAAAAACAACCACAAGGAAAGTCTCAAAGGAAAAAGAAATACCAGGGAGAGAAATACAAAGTGGACATAAGTCTAACAAGAATTCCTGGAAGAGCTAAAAGAAATATAGGCCAATTTCCCTAATGAATATCTTTGCAAAAAATTTTAAATAAAATACTAGCAAAGAGATTAAAGCAACATATCTGAAAGATCATAAACGATGACTAGGTTGGATTTATGCCTGGAATGCAGGGCTCATTCAACATTGGAAAACTATAAGCATAATAGACTATATCAACAACAAAAATCATAGGAATTCATATAGAAAAATATCAACAACAAAAATCATAGGAATTCATATAGAAAAACCTTTAAAAAAATACAACTCCCATTCCTATGAGAAACATGAGAAACCACAGAAATAAATGGAGCTTTTCTTAAAAAGATAAAACCAAGAGCAAGCATTATCTGTAATTGTGATAAACTAGGAGCTTTCCCAATAAGATCAAGGGTGAAGCAAGGTTATCCATTGTCACCACTGTACAATATGGTACTAGAAATCCTAGCTATTTCAATAAGACGAGAAAAAGAAATCGCAGGAATAATAATAGGTAATGAGGAAACAAAGCTATTATTCTTTGCAGATGATATGATGGTATATTTAATGAACCCTAGAGAATCAACTAAAAAGCTAGTTGAAAGAATTAACAACTTAAGCAAATTTGCAGGATACAAAATAAACCTACATCAATCATCACCATTTCTATATCTTACCAACAGAACCCAGCAGGAGGAAGTAGAAAGAGAAATTCCGTTTAAAATAACTGCAGACAATATAAAATGGTTGGGAATCTACCTGCCAAAACATACCCCATGAATATATGAACACAAAATACTTCTTAGACAAATAAAGAGATGTCTAGACAATTAGAGAAATATTAATTGCTCCTGGACATACCAAGTCAACATAATGAAAATTACTTCTACCTAAATTAGTTTGCTCATTCAGTGGCATACCAAGCAGACTACCAAAAATTATTTCATAGAGCTTGAAAAAATAGTAACAATTCACCTGGAAGAACAAAAGGTCTTGAAAGAGGATCAATGAAAAATGTGAAGGAAGGCAGCCTAGCCATACCAGATTTCAAACTATATAACAAAGCAGGAATCATGAAAACAATTTGGTACTGTCTAGGAAATAAGAGTGTTGGACGTATGGAATTGATTAGGTACACAATACACAGTAGTAAATGACTATAGTAATCTAGTATTTGATAAACCAGCCCAAAGATCCAAGCTTTGTAGGCAAGAACTCACTATTTGACAAAAATTGCTGGGAAAACTGGAAAGCAGTTTGGAAGAAATTAGGCATAGACCAACGTCTCACACAATATATCAAGATAAGGTGAAAATGGGTACATGATTTAGACCAAAGGGTGATATAAATAAATTAGGGGAGCATGGGAAAATTTACCTGTCACTAAGGGAAAAGTTTATGAACAAACAAGAGATAAAGATCACAAAAAGTAAAATTGATAATTTTGATTACATGAAACAAAAAAGGTTTTGCACAAAGAAAACCAATGCAGCCAAAATTAAAAAGAAAGCAGGAAAGTGGGGGAGGGTGGAGATTTTACAGCAAGTTTCTCTAGTAAAGACCTCATTTCTCAAACATGTATCAAACTAAGACAAATTTATAAAAATAAGAGCTATTCTCTAATTGATAAATGGTTAAAGGATATGAACAGGTATTTTTCAGAAGAAATCAAAGCTCTCAATAGTCACATAAAAATGATCCAAATCAATATTGATTAGAGAAATAGAGAATAAAACAACTCTGTAGTTTGCCTCACATCTATCAGATTGGCTGACATGACAGAAAATTAAAATGGCAACTGTTGGAGTTGTCAACTGCCCCAATCATTTTGGAGGACAATTTGTAACTATTCCCAAAGGGTTATAAATCTGTGCATACCATTTGACTCAGCAGTACCACTATTAGGTGTATATCCCAAGGAGATCACAGAAAAAGGAAAAGGATCTATAGGTTCAAAAATATTTATGGCAGCTCTCTTTGTGATGGCAAAAAATTAGAAACTGAGAGGATGTCCATCAATTGGGGAATGGCTGAACAAGTAATGGTATATGATTGTGATGGAAAGCTATTGTGTTATGAGATGCAAGATGGTTTCAGAAAAACCTAAGGTCAGTTATATGAATTGATGCAAAGTGAAGTGAGCAGAATCAGGAGAACATTGCATACAGTAACAGCAATATTTTAAGGACGAGCAACTGTGAAAGACTTAGCTTGTCTATTAATGCAACCACGCAAGACAATTCTGAAGGACTCATGATGAAAAATGCTATCCACTTCCAAAGAATCCTGATGAACTCTGAGTACAAACTGAAGTATAAATTTTTCACTATATTTTTCTTGCTTTTCCCCTCCACATGGCTAATATGGAAATATTTTGCATGAGTTCATGTGGATATAATATTGCTTGCCTTCTCAATGGGAAAGAGAAGGGCTGGAGAGAGGGAAAGAATTTGGAATTCAAAGTGTAAAAAAATGAATGTTATAAATAAACAAATTATAAAAATAAAAATTACAAAAAAAATATTGATAAGAAGAATGATATTTAAAAGTGTCCCTCTGTCTCTCTGGTATGCTCTTCCTCCGACAACCACTTTTTCTTGTCTGTCCTTAGTTCCTGTTGGCTTCACATAGTGATTATGTTTTTTCTCTCTCATTGAACTTAAAGAGCTCATGGCCCTATGAGAACATCATATTGCATATGAGACCACATATTGCAATGTGGAGAAATAGGGGATCATTTCAAATTGATTGAATGCAAAATGGAGTTGAGACAGACTGAGGTCGAACTAGAAACCTTTTAAGACCCAAGGTAAAAAAAAAAATCCAATACTCAGTTCACTCTTATCCCTGCTGGGAAATCAGCAGTTTGGTTTGGACAGAAGACAGGGAAGAAATGGCTTACATAGTATTCTTGGAGAGCTGTTACAGTGGAAAGGTCATAGAAAGGAACCAATCTTGGTAGGAGGAGGGAGGAGGATGGGTCTAGGGAAGAACCTTGCGTTAAAATGACCTCTGGAGAAAGTCACCTCTCATCTGGAAGGGTTTTCTCATACCCCTTGCCTAGGTAGACAGTAGGGAAGATTGGAACGCAAGAAAAGTGAATCTCGTTCCCCTACACTACTGTACTCTATAGGGTGCTGAAGCGCAGGCTCCTTAGTTCTTCAACATCCCCCAACCCCCACCTCTCCGCCTACTCCCCCAGTCCCTTGCTATCTGCGGAGGCAAGGTGACTGAAAGGGACCGGAGCCAATGGTAGATCTCGATCCACCCTCGTTCCCCCAATGGGCCGACCAGTATGGAGGGGGAGGTCCAGGCTCTCTGGCTCATTTTCTGCAAGCCAGAGTGACAGTCTGCTCTAACGTTCCTGGGAAAATCGGAAGGCAACTCTGCTGCTACGGCTCCTACTGCTGTTGCTGCAGGCCAAGGTGCTGGCCAAGTCTAGCCTGTTAACTAGAGCGGACTTTCAGCTATATAGGTCTGAGGCACCAGTCTGTAGCCGCTTGGTTTACCAGCCCAGCCCCCCTATGGAAGAAATGGAAGAGGAGTTAAAATGTCCGGTGTGCGGTTCTTTCTATCGAGAGCCTATCATTCTGCCTTGCTCTCACAATTTGTGCCAAGCGTGCGCCCGCAACATCCTAGTTCAGACCCCGGAGTCTGAGTCTCCCCAGAGCCGTCGGGCCTCGGGTTCTGGGGTCTCTGATTATGACTATCTGGACATGGATAAGATGAGTCTGTACAGCGAAGCGGACAGCGGCTACGGCTCCTATGCAGGTTTCGCCAGCGCCCCCACCACTCCATGTCAGAAGTCTCCCAACGGAGTCCGAGTGTTTCCCCCGGCCATGCCACCGCCTGCGGCCCACTTGTCAGCATCTCTGGCCCCAGTGCCTCGCAACTCCTGCATCACTTGTCCACAATGCCACCGTAGCCTGATCTTAGATGACCGGGGATTGCGCGGCTTTCCTAAAAACCGCGTTCTGGAAGGGGTCATCGATCGCTATCAGCAGAGCAAAGCAGCGGCCCTCAAGTGCCAGCTCTGCGAAAAGGCTCCCAAGGAGGCTACAGTAATGTGCGAACAGTGCGATGTTTTCTACTGCGACCCATGTCGGCTCAGATGCCACCCGCCAAGAGGACCCCTGGCTAAACACCGACTGGTGCCCCCAGCCCAAGGCCGGGTTAGTCGGAGGTTGAGTCCCCGCAAAATTTCCACCTGTACAGATCATGAGCTGGAAAACCACAGTATGTACTGTGTCCAGTGCAAGATGCCTGTGTGTTACCAGTGCTTAGAAGAGGGCAAACACTCTAGTCATGAAGTCAAGGCTTTGGGGGCTATGTGGAAGCTCCACAAGGTGAGTCTTAGGAAATCTCTTCCTTCCCCTCGTCCTCATACCCCTTTTCCCTCTCCCAGCCACAACTGCACTCTTTCCATCTGTACCGTCATAAAATTGTTTTGCACTAGGGTGTTCCCCTCTTTCAGACACAATACACCTCATTCAGACGTATGATCAGGGGGGCAGTGTGGGAGACTGTTTTCTTGCTTTGTCTGGTGCATTGCAGGAGACATGGTGCCTTTTAAATTCAGTAGGAGACTCAATAGAAGAGGAACTGGAAAGACTAAGTAGATGGTCTGAGGGACAATAATGTTCAAGGTCATCTCACTACCTGTACAAGTTGGGCTGTAGATTAGGGCTGTGGTCAGCTATCCCATGGAACGCGCTTAGTTGCAGGCAGCATCAGTGCTCCTAGTCAATGGAGAAATAAATCTGCAAGGATTAGATGTTTGTTCTAATTCGGGGGAGGCACGAGATGCAGGAGACTTTATGCTCCCACAGACCCTTTGGGAAGTGGGAGTGTAAATCCGCCAGAAGGCCTGAGGAAAATGTGACCGCGCATGCGATTGGCTTAGAAAGATCAGCTGGGGTTAGAGTTCCCTGGATCTCTGAATCTTTTCTTTTGGGTGGGTGGTTGCTGAGAATATGTCTAGCGTAAATGGAATATTGATGAACTTGAATTAGCTTCTAACTACATCACCTCATCCCGGTGTGTCACCTCATCTCCGAGTAACAACCAGAGTCATTGTATAGGTGGTGAAACTCCTGTTGCCTTAGGAACAGATGCTGCGTAGGCTGATATCCCCTCCCACCTGCGTGGAAGGAAACTAAGGCAGAAGTGACTTCAGTTTGGTATACCCTGTGGATCTGCCTCAATCTGGCAGCTGTTGAGCACTGTCCGCCTTGATGATGCATCAGCAATGGGCTCCTTCTCTTTATACTTCAGCAAAAGCCACTGGAAACTCCTTGTAAAAGTCATCTGTGAACATGGTTATTCTTTCCAGTGTCTGCAGACTGAAAGTCTCATTTGTTGATGTTATATCCCCCCACCTTTTGGAGGGGACACTACAACTAATATCTCCCAAGAAAATAAGCATAAACTTGGGCTTTAATTTTATTTTTAAAATTTACATCAAGGGAGATGTTAAGGGGAAAGCAAACACAGGATTAACTTTAGTGAATTTTGGGGTATACTTCCACTTGCTTTGTATAATGGCTATACCAATTCACTGGTCCACCAAAAGTGAATTGGTGTGTCAGTCCTGAAACAGATATTCCCAAAATTGCCATTTTCCTTTTTTGTTATCATTGTCAATCTGATAGTTATGAGCTTGTTTTAATTTATTTTTCTATAATTATTAGTGATTTGGAGTATTTTTTCATATAGTTGTTAATAGCTTGGATTTCTTTTTTTTTAACTGTTCATATATTTTCACAATTTATATATTGGAGAATGCCTCTTGTTCTTATATATTTGAATCAATCCCTTACATATCTCCAATAGCACACTTATATTAAAGAAATTTGTTACAAAGATTTTTTTCACACAACTATTTCCCTTCAGATTTTACTTGCCTTGATTTTATTTGTCCAGAAAACATTCAATTTTAAGTAATCAAAATTATCCATTTTATCTCCTGTGACCTCTATGCCATGTATCATCAGGAACCCCGAACTCTTCCCCTATTCTTAATTATCCCTAATTCTGAAAAGTGTCTCCTCCCTAGCTCCTCTAATTTGTTTATGGCATGACTCTACAGGTATATTATATGCATATACATTATAGTATATGTTATGCATCATATTGTAGCTTATTGTGGTAAAAACCGCTAGATTTGGAATCAGTTTGTCAGGCTGCTGGAACGGTCTTTAGCATTTTTTCTATAACTATAGTATTGGTGCTCGGTTTGTGTCCATGCTTTCTAATGATGTTTAAAATTTAAAAAGAACCAACTGGGTGTTGTATGTTTCCAAAAGTATTTTCTGTATATTTGTTAAACTTAAAAAAATTATTACAGCATATTATGTTTAGGTTTTCTATCGCACTAATCACAGATTAGTAGTATAAATTTAACCTAGTCATAGAGTATAATTTTGCAATATGTTGCCATAGCCTCTTTGCTAATATTTTATTTAATGGATTTTGAATACTTAATATCTGCATCAATATTCATTAGAGATATTGGTTAAAATTTTCTTTCCACAGTTTAGATCTAAAGATCATATTTCTAGCATTGAAGAAATGATAGGATCCCTTCTTTTCATAATTTAGTGAACAGTTTTTGTAATAATGGAATTGTTATTTGAATGTTTGGTAGAATTCACATCTGATCTTTTTTTTTCTTTCAAATTTATTGCTAGTTCAATTTGTTTTTTTCTGACATGGGATTATTTAAACTTTGATTTCTTGTTTTGCTAATCTGGATATTTTATGTTTCTGTAAATACTGATCTTTTCATTTAAATTATCAGTTTTATTGGCATGTGATTGGGAAAATATTTTCTAGTGCTTTGTTTTTTCATTGGTTGTGGATTGTCCATTTTAATTTTTTGAGATTAGCAACTAGGTTCTCTCTATTTAAGAAATAAGGCTAGCTAATAAAAGAAAAAAATTCCTGTTAGAAATATAGTCATATATAGTCAAGGAAAAATGCATATACACACATTATCTATCTATCTATATCTATCTATCTATCTATCTATCTATCTATCTGTTTCTCTGTAGATGTATTTTTAGTGTATTTACACACATTTATATATAGGGGTGTGTGTGTGTGTGTGTTATTCTGCATTCTGGATCTTTCAGCTATGAGGAAGCAGACAGTGTATTTCATTATTATTTCCCTGAAGATGTGGCTGGTCATTATGAGTTCTAACTTTTTCAAAGTTGTTTGTCTTTGTTGATATCGTATAAATGGTTCTCCTGGTTCTGTTCACTTCATTTTACATCAGTTCATGAGAGTCTACCCAGTTTTCTCTGAAACTATCCCTTTCATCATTTTTTGTAGTACATTAATATTCTATCATGCATTTTCGTATATCTATAGAGTTTATTTTACTTAGGACAAATCATGCTTTTAATTGGCCTTCCCTCTTACTGTCCCTTTTCCCTTTCTCCCCTTTCTTTCCTATTTCCATGCTGAATGAAATTTATTTCCATACCCAATTGTGTGTGTGTGTGTGTGTGTGTGTGTGTGTGTGTGTGCATATTCTTCCCTCCTTTGACCTTTTCAGATGAGGGTACAGAGAGAACATTAGTTTAAATGTAACATTCCCACCCGTCTTTCTTTGTTTATATAGACTTATGCACCCTGAGATAGTTTTCCTTAACCTTTTTCTTCACTATTTCCCTGGTGTATTCTTCTTCCTCTGCCTTTCCATTCTTCTTTTAAGAATAGCAAAACATAAGATCACCATTTCCAGACTATCTGTCCAGTTAGATGACCTCTGTGATCAGTGAGGATGATAAGGTTCAGATAATCATTTTCTCATATTGGAATGTAAGGAGCTGTGGGACAGCTAGGTGGTGCAGTAGATAGAGCACTGGCTCTGCAGTCGGGAGGGCCTGAGTTCAAATCAGACCACAGGCTCTTGATACTTACTAGCTGTGTGTCCTTTGGCAAATCACTTAACCCCAACTGCCTCACAAAAATGAAAAGAGTTTATATTTCTTTTATCTGCTGTGCTTAAACTTCAAAGTTTTTATGTTACTTTTGTCTTTCATCTGGAATACTTGAAAGTCTTCTATTTCATTTTATTTTTGCCCAATAGGATTACAAGCAGTTTTGCTGGGTAAATTATTCTTGGTTGTTACCCTATATACTTTGTCTTTGGAATATTGTATTCTAAACTTTCTGTTTGTTTGCTTGTTTTTCAATAGTGGTGGCTGCTAAGTTACGTGTCATCCTCATTGTAGTTTCCTTAGTATTCGAGTTCTTTCTGCTAGCTAGCTTTCTGACTGCTAGCTTTATTTTTTTCTTTGACCTATAAGCTCTGAATTTTGGCTGTGATGTTCCTGAGAGTTCTCATTTTGAGGTTTATTTCAGGAGGTGACAAGTGGGTTCTATTTCTACTTTGTCTTCTAGTTCTGAGAAATCTGGGCAGTTTTCTTGAAATATGATTTCTAAGCTCTTTTTATGGTGATGGTTTTCAGGTAGTACAATGATTCTTAAATTATCTCTCAATCTGTTTTCCAGGTCAGCTGTTTTTGCCATAAGATAACTGAGATTTTTTCTTCTTTTTTCAGTCTTTTGATTTTTAAAAATTTATTTATGGTCACTTCCTGGAGTCATCATTTTCTATGTGGTTCATTCTAATATTCAAGGAGTTATTTTTGGGGGGCATGATTTTTGTACCTCATGTACCATGCTATTAATTTCCTTTCCAATTCTTTATTCTATAGATCTCATTGCTTTTCTTTTCTTTTCTTTTTTCTTTTTTGGTAAATTTTTATTTAAAACAAATACAAAATGAGAAAAGAAAAAAAACCATTGTCATGGACATAGCAGAGAATAAAAGAGGATTCAATATAAAACTATAAATTTTCATTTCAAAAAACCCTATGTAATAAATACTATGCATTGTTTTCAAAGCTGCCCAGCTTTTCTTTGCTTCTTTGTTTTCTTTTGTTCTCTGCCATGCACTTTTTATTTTATTTTCCCCTGTCTCCCCCCCCCAATCCTAAAGGAGGGTACTATTAATCTACACATAGATAAGATAGATAGATATAAACATACACATATATGCACATACACACACATACACATCTATGTAACACCATATTATGCTTATTTTCTCCTGTCACCTGTTTCCCTGAAGGTGGATAGCATCTTCCTTTGTAAGTCCAAGTCTTCCCAAGTTTTTTGAAATCAACCTGCTCATCATTTCCTTCACTACAGCAATATTTCAACCCAATCACATCCTACCTGAGAGATTGTCTATGAAAGTTTTTTCCCAAATTTTCCGCATTCATTTCATTCTTAGCTACATAGGTTTTATTTACACAAGAAATTTTTAATT